TTGGGGCAGCAATATTTATATCAGACAAAATAGACTTTAAAACAAGGGCTGTAACAGGAGACAAAAAAGGGCATGTCATAATGATAAACTGATCAATCCAATGAGACAACATAACTCTCATAAACATCTAGGCACCCAACATGAAGCACCTAAATATATAAAGCAAATCCCTATCAAAATACTAATGGCATTTTTTTCACAGAACTAGAACAGATAATTCTAAAATGTATGGCACCACAAATAGCAAAAGCAATCTTGAGAAACAACAAAGTTGGAGGTATCACACTGCTGATGTAAAACTATACTACAAGGGTATAGTAATCAAAACAGTGTGGTACTGGCATAAAAACAGACATATAGATAATAGAACAGCATAGAGAACCCCAAAATAAATCCATGCCTATATGGTCAATTAATCTATGACAACGGAGGCAAAAAAGATACAATGAGGTAAAGGACAGTTTCTTCAATAAATGGTGTTGGGAAAACTGGACAGATACATGCAAAAGAATGAAACTGGATCACCTTCTTACACCATATACAAGATTAAACTCAAAGTGGATTAAATACTTAAATGTAAGACTTGATACCATAAACCTCCTAGAAGAAAACATAGGCAGTAAACTCTTTGACATCAATCTTAGCAATATTTTTTTGGATATTCTCATCGAGCAAGGGAAACAGGAAAAAATAAAATAAACAAATGGAACTATATCAAACTAAAGAGCTTTTTGCACAATAAAGGAAACCATCAACAAAACTAAAAGACAACCTACTGAATGAGTGAAGGTATTCTCCAATGATACACCTGATAAAGGGATAATATCCAAAATATAAAGAATTCACACAACTTAACACCAATAAAGCCAAACAATCTGATTAAAACATGGGCAGAGGACCTAAATAGACACTTCTCCAAAGAGGACACACAGATGGCCAACAGACATGTGAAAAGATTCTCACCATCACTAATCATCAGGGAAATGCAAATCAAAACCACAGTGAGACACCACCTCACACCTGTAAGAATGGCCATCTTCAATAAATCAATGAACAAGTGTTGACGAGGATGTGGAGAAAAGGGAACCTTCATGCACTGTTGGTGGGATTGCAAAATTACGCAGCCACTATGGAAAACAGTATGGAAGCTCCTCAAAAAATTAAAAATAGAACTATTGTATGACCCAGCAATTACACGTCTGGATATTTATCCAAAAAAATCCAACACTAATTTGGAAAAATACATGCACCTCCTATGTTCATTACAGCATTATTTTCAATAGCCAAAATATGGAAGCAACCTAAGTGTCCACTGATAGACAAAATAGATAAAAGATGTGGTACATACATACAGTAGAATATTACTCAGCCATAAAATTAAACAAAATCTTGCCACTTGTGACAATATGAATGGACCTAGAGAGTATTATGATAAGTGAAATAAGTCAGACAGAGAAAGATAAAATACCATATGTTTTCACTTATGTGTAGAATCTAAGAAAGAAAATAAATGAACAAACAAAACAGAAACAAACTCATAGATACAGAGAATAAATTGATGGTTGCCAGATGGGGGAGGGGTATGGATGAAAAGGGGGAAGGGATTAAGTACAAACTGCCAGATATAAAAATAGTCATGGGGATGTAAAGTATGACATAGGGAATATAGTCACTAATATTGTAATAACTGTGAATGGTGCCAGATGGGTATTAGACTTAGCAGAATGATCACTTTGTAAGTTATATAAATGGCTAATCACTATGTTGTACAGCTGAAACTAATAAAATATTGTATGTCAACTGTAATCGAAAATATAAAATGAAAAGAAAACACCCTGGGCCGCTTAATGCGTGCTAGGCTTCAAGTCAAGCCACCTTCTTCTTGAGGAAAGGATGAAGCAGAGAAGGGATATAAGACCCAGAAAGGGGACATGAACTTGCAGGAGGCTGAGAGTCGCTTCTGCTGCTCTCAATTGTCCCATGAGCCTACTAGTTACTCATCTGTTTTTCTCTTTTTTTTTTTAATTGCTCCTAGCATCATGTTAGAGCCCAAAGTCACAGGTCATGAATGATTCCCCTCTAGGTCATCGTAGGGCTAGAACCAAACCTTGGCCAGTGGTAGTAGTGGACTGTCTCATAAGAATGTTCTCATCTAGTCCTGACCACAAACCCAGGAAACAGAACCAGGGACAATTCCTCTGCCTCTAGCATGCCAGGAAGTCTCTGTCTCAGTCACCCGTCTTCTCTTCCCCATAGGCAGAGACCAGATGCTGATCCAATGATCATATTCCAGGAAAATCATTAGTTCTTGATGACCTGTCTCAAAAGGGTTCCATATATCAGACTCCTGCCTGTATCTCAGATTTCCTCCTTCCATGGGTTCAGCCACCACAACTAGGTTGAGACCCGTCTCATGGGGAAGCTAACCTCTCTTCTGCTCACTTTTCTCTCTTCTACTTTGGGCCATTGGACTCAGTTATAAATACATGTTTTGTTCCCATTCTGCTAATGTTTCTTGTGGCACTAATCTGGACAGAGGGGAGCAGGGGAATGGGGAAGTGGGCGCCCAGAGAGGGTAGAAGTGACCACATCCACACCCAGATCAGCTTCTCAGCCCACTGTAATTAACAAGCAGGGCAGCCTGGTCTTTGGGGAGCAGCAAGACACATGCTTTTCCAGAACAGTCCTATCTCACCCCCCCCCTCAAGGTTTCTATCTGTGCCTCCAGCTACTTAAACTTTCCAACCTCCTTCCCTCCCCGCTTCTGCACAGGTACACCCTCCAAACACTGCCACAGAGCCTGGGAGAAAGAGTGGCACCCTGGAAGACACGTTGACATTGGCCCAGCTCCAATCACAGCTCCAACAGCCTGCGCTGTGCCTAGAAGACAAACCATATAGCAGAGGCACAGTCATTTCTGCCCCAGCGGGCTCCCACCATGGGCATGCGCACATGGGCATGCTCAAAGGGGCCCTGCCTGAACCCCTGACGTGAGAAGAATGCCCCCAGCCCTGCCTCTCTTCTTATTTTTAATTAGAAGTTCCATGAAAACCACTACAGCAATGAGCACACACCAGGCAGCATACTTCAGGACAATTAGCAGACTCCTCAGGTTGCTAAAATGGCCTGGGCCCCAATCGGAGCCGACATAATTACACCAAAACATACAGTCTACCAGGAGGCGCCCATTGTAAGGGGAAAAAAACAATTAGTCACACAATCTAGCGTGCAGTCAGATCTACAGGCAATTATTCTGTACACATGAGAGTTCGCCAGGGGTTGGGACACACAGAGATGATCTCTTGCCTAGAGCTCAGTACCACCGTAAGCAAACCTCTACGGCTGCCCGCCCCAACCCATGCTGAGTGCTGGGTTCGTGTGGACGCCCCCCGTGTGCAGACTGGCTGTAATTATCCAATGTCTAGATCACTGGAGAATGAGCATTCCATTCCTGTACTGTGGGAAATAATCAGTGGGGCAAAGAGACTCAGGACCACCCCCCCCGCCACTTTCTGAACCCCCAAGCCACTCATTAAAACCTGCCCCTAAGACAGCTCCTGGCCAGTCATTCCGGTGATGCTGGGAGTAAATAAAAAGAGCAAATTAGAAGACCAGGAAGAGCTCTGAGCAGAAGGGAGCTGCTGCGGAAAACCGCCCGAGGCTACTGGGCTCCGCTGGAAGCCACCCACCTGGATTCCACAGGCAGGAGTCCCCTCTGCCTGCCTTCCACCGTGGCTTTCTGGCTCTCCGTCCGCAGGCCAGCAGGGCCACCACGATTAATATTCAGCTGACATTTCCACTGCGCACTCCAGGCCCGTTCTTTGGGCCTTTCACATCCTATTCAGACCCAGGTAATCTTTGCCCTTGCATCTGGCCCGAGCGGCAGCAATAATTAAGACTGCAGACTATGGTTTATTAGCGTTTATTGAACAGCGAAGGAGCCCTGCACAATAGCGGCTGTCACCAGGTCTCCGACTCCCAAACCGGATTAACGAGGCAGCGGGTCACAGATGCAAACAACAGAAAGGAGGCCGTCTCCGGAAGAAGGGTTATTTACCGGAGTGGAGGGCTCTGAGGCTTTGTGGTCAGGCTAACAGGAGGCGGTCCCGGTTTGGTCCCTCACTTTAGAGTCTCCACAGTCACCCTTCACGTGTCATTATTTGTGGGTCTAGAGAAAGCGGTCAAGTGTAAGGGGGCCGGGATTCAAATCCTGGACTAATCCACTGAATGACCTTGTGCAAAGTACCTTCCCACTCAGGGACTCAGTCCCTCATGTTCAAAATGAGAGTTCAAGACATCAGTGGTATTTAAACCATCCTCCCAGGGGACATGTAAGCAGGGTGAGGTGGTCAGATTCCCTTCCCTACGTACGGGGAGCAGCTCTCATCCCACCTGCTTCACATACCAGGCTTTCCCGAGAGTTCAAGAAAGTTCTTTTCAATCTGTAAAATGCAAGTTTGAAGCTGGGAGATCTCTAAATTCTTCACAGCCCTAGATGGTCTATGAAGAACTGAAATGGTACAAGGAACCCACCAGGCGTCGGGTGAGTGTATGTTGAGTGGCCAGAGAAAGGCGAGAGGGAAACAGAAGCAGCAGGTGGACATGGAATCCCAGCAGAGCAGACACCCAGAGGCAAGACCAGTAACCGTAGATATTTAAACACAGTACCTGGGGGCCTGAAAACCATGACTTTGGGGAAGTGTAGGCTTTAACAGCGGACATGACTCAGTACTATCCTACGGCAGATTTCCTAGGCGGATGCAAGGCCCCCTGGTCCAGGCTGATGGGTCTACATTCGTAAAACTTTCTGCCCCTTCTCTTGTTTTGGTTTTGGGGGGTTCTTTTTGAAATGTTATTTGATTTTGAAAAAGAGGAGAGATTGGTTGATTTGTTGTTCTACTCATTTATGCATTCACTGGTTGATTTTTGTATGTGCCCTGACCAGGGATCAAACCCACAACCTTGGTGTATGGGGACAATGCTCCAGCCCACTGACTCACCCGGCCAGGGCCTGCCCCTTCCGTCTTCAACAATGCATCCCTCACCCAGGCAAGCTTTGACGATAAGGAAGGTTTCAGCTCCTTGGATGAAAATCTTCTGAAGACAAGTTCCAAAACCTTAAAAAAACAAAACAAAAAAATCCCCGTGTGTTTCAAGATGAAATCCGACGACTGGGTAATGAAAGCTTGGCCAACCCAAAGAACCACCAACAGCAGATGAAGTTAACAAATGAAACATAAGAGATCAGATCACCTTCCGGTTACAGCGGGATCGACAAACACACTTTTTCCACCGTCTCCTAGAAATCCCACTAGAATAAGAGTTAAGGGATTGGAAAGGTACAAATCCTCCAGCACAAAGAGAAAATGGAAGAAACAGAAGCAAAAGAGGATGTCGACAAAATTTAGGAAAAAAGGAAAAGCCGGAGGAGTGCTTCCTGGGTGTGACCACGGCTTTCTTCTCCCCCGCAAAGGGCGTGCAGGGAGAGGCCATCGTGAACGCGGGCAGTGGCTGCCGAGGGACTTCACAAAGGCTCCGGAATCAGACACACCAGGTCACTCGGAGCAGGGGAGCCAGGGAGTCGGGCTGAAAACCAGTGCAGGCAGGAGGCTGCGGCCCCCTACGCCAGGGGGTGCTTTCCTCTCTGCAGAGGTAGAAACAAAGGCTCTGGAGGAGGAGCAGGGACCAGGCTGAGGCCTTCGCGAACAAAAGGTGAGGCCCTCGGCTTCTAGAACGCTGGCACGCCCGAGACCGCCTGGTCCCTCCCAGCAGGAGACTGGAGATTTCTCTTCTGGTTCTCAAACCCAGCGTTTGTGTCACCCACGGTCAATGACTCGCTGTTGCCCTGAATGTCACACGCACTGCCCACTGTGCTTTCATGCACACCGCTCCCCTGGCTCGGAAGGCCGTCTGCTGTTCAGGTGCATCCCCCCATCCTTCGGACACCAGCCTGGGTCACACCTCCTCCGAAGACTTCTGTGCGCACTCCAGGCCCTAAAAGCTTCTGTAGAGATTTTCTGTTCTCAGGGCTCCCGAAATCCTTACTGAGTATCGTTCACCTGTCTTTGGAATAGGACACCTTACAAGTTACCGGTGGGGTTTTAGGTGTTGTATCGAAGGAGCACATTTAAATTACAATAATTTGAGCCATGTTTAGTGCAGAGTATTCACAAAGGTGCAGGAAGGCTGTGGTGCAGGGAAATGACAGCAGCTGGCGTGGACCCCAAGTCGGGCAACAGGCTCCTACACCACTCCCAGCCCGGGAAGGCACAGCTGTGCCCGCTGGAGCCCAGCAGAGGCTGCGGGGAGAGGGCAGGCTCACTTACAGGAGCCAAGACCGGTGAGGGATTCCATAATCCCATCAGGTGGGAGCCAGTGAATAAACACCTCACCTTGCCCTCAGTCCTCCCTCCCATCTCTGCCCTCATTCCACTCTGGCAGAAACCGACCAGAAACTGAAGGACAAGGGACCTCACTGCCATAGGCCAGTGGTTCTCCGACTTGAACAGACATCAGGATCACCTGATGTTAAAGCAAAAATTCCTCTCATCCCAAGGGCTGAGAGGTCCCGGTTCTATTCCCAGTCAGGGCACACATCCAGGTCAGGGGCTCGATCCCCAGTGGGGGACATGCAGAAAGCAGCCGATTGATGTTTTTCTCTTAAATCAATGTTTCTTTTTTTTTTCCTTTATTGATTTTAGAGAGAGAAAGGGAGAGGGAGAGAGAGAGAGAAACATCGATGAGAGAGAACATCGATTGGCCGCCTCCTGCATGCCCCCCACTGGGAATCGGGCCCACAACCTGGGCATGTGCTCCTGGACCCAGAGCAAAGTTTCTGATCCCTCTGGTCTGGGGTGTGAGGCTCCGGAATTTTCCACCAGATCACCGGTGATGCTGACCCCAGGACTACACATCGCGATCAGCTGCCAGTGACCCGGGGTACCGGCCAGCCCCTGGGGCACAGAGCAATGGACGGGTGGAAACTGACCGGGAGGAGCAGAGGGAAGACATCAGCACACGTGCACGTGTTAGATCTATTCCGTTAGACCCACTCGACCGGGCCAGCAAACGCTTTCTGTAAAGAGCCAGGTAGCAAATGTTCGGGCCTCTTCAGGCCGAATCATCTCTGTTGCTACTACTTAACTCTGCCATCACAGCACAGAAGCTGTCACAGAGACCACGTGAATGAATGAGGGTGGCTGTGTCCCAATAAGAATTTACTTTCATTTTGTTATTTCTAACAATTCATCTACCGTGAACTCATCTACGTCTTCCGTACCTTGTCTCTCCAGTGTTCAAATCAGCCACCACAACCGTTCCCTGAGGGTCCACCTAGAAATGCTGGCCACTTTTTTTTTTTTTTATCCTCAACCGAGGACATTTTCCTATTTTTTTGTTGTTGTTGTTGTTCAGATAGAGTGGGAGGGAGGGAGAGAGAGAGAAACATCGATGTGAAAGGGACACATCAAGTGGTTGCCACCCACATGACCCCAACCAGGGCCGGGGACAAACTGCAACCGAGGTACATGCCCTTAGCAGGAAGCAAACCCGGGTCTCTCTGGACCATAGGCCAATGCTCTAACCGCTGAGCCAAACTGGCCAGGGCAAAATGCTGGCCACTTTTAAATGCATTATCTCTTTGCTTCCAGGAGACCTAGATTCCATCTGTCCTGGTCAGGATCGGCACTTGGATGGCTCTCAATTTGTTTGTCAAGCCAACAGTTAATCTACAGTGTGTGTCAGAAACTGCACATGCCAGTCACTCAGGATCTAATCAAGACAGCCACAGTCCCTAGCTATGGAGGGCAACCAGCCAATTCGAGATGTCAGTTAAGGTTTTCGGGTGGCAAGCAACACATGTGAGCCTGGGTCACTTCAATAAAAGAAAATGTGTTGGGAGAATACTGGGAGGTCCATAGGCTTGAGAGACAAACAGATCGGCCATTCATCAGGAAGACTAGAAACCAGAACAGCTCCAACAAGAGCCAGCAGGGCCCACGCCCACTCCCTGGACTCGATCACGCTCCCTCTCGGATGGGGCGCTGGCTTACACACAGGCGTACCTCAGATATCGACAGTTCAGTTCCAGACCACCGCAATGAAGCGGTATCACAATAAAGGGAGTCATCATTCGTGCCTGCCGTTTGTAAAACACACAACATCTGTGAAACGCAATCTAGCAAAGCACAATAAAATGAGGTATGCCTGCAGTTTTAAATTGTCCCCAGACGATCCTAATTTGTACCCATGGTGGATAAGTACTTGTCTGGTCCCTTCGGCAGAGTAGTTCTTGTTCTATCTCACTCTGGTTTGTAGCAGATGGTTGACTCCTGATAAAGTTAGAATCAACTTACGAAAACCCACCAATTCCCTAACTCCCCACCAGGTTCACCAGGCAGACAACAGTATACTCCGTGTTTATAGCACATTTCTTTTCATGGCTTTTGTTTCTGATTTATTTTTTTAATCCTCACCTGAGGATATTTTTCTGTTTATCTTCAGACAGAGTGGAATGAAGAGCGAGAGAAACATCGACATGAGAGGGACCCATCGATTGGCTGCCTCCCACACGACCCCAACCAGGACCAGGGATGAACTGCAACCGAGGTACGTGCCCTTGGCCAGAATCAAACCTGCGACTCACTGGTCCGCGGACGGACACTCTACCCCTGAGGCAAACCGGCCAGGGCATAGCACATGCCTTTGCAAGGCATCCTCAGGTGTCTTTTATCTCCAACAAGCCCCACGGCTGCTCTGAGGTAGCCGGCACAGATGTAACTGGCCAGAGTCGAGGGAGGGCTGTGCCCACGTGCACACAGCAAGCGAATGGCACAGCTGGGATGAAAACTCAGGTCCCCACAGGGCCATGGTTCTCCAGCTAGAGTGACTAAGACACACTGGGCTCCTCGTCCCAATGCCGTGTCCCTGGCTTCACACCCAGGTCTGGTCCAGTAAGTTTTCAGGGAGGCACGAGCACCCGCATTATCACCGAGGTGATTCTGATGCACCTGGCCCCCAAATCTCAGCTGGTGAAACACTACCATCGAGGAAATCACCTCCAGCCAATGGCTCAGAGATACTTCCCCGCCCAGAAGAAAGCAGACCAGCTAACTACCTCCAGATGTTTTCCAAACCTATGGAGTTTCATTTGCTTTCCCTTCATTCCTCTCATTACCTGCTAGTATGAGCCTTGCAGAGAAATAATAGTCAAAGACAATCCCTGGATCGGTGACGGTCAGTGAGCCTCCGCGTGACAGATCTGCGGTCAACAAGCAGTGGCTTGTTGGAGCCCTGGACTGAGAAGCAACGAGACTGTAACAGGCACAGCAGGAAAATACAATGTCGTTAAATTGGTGACGTCTGTCATGGACACAGTGAGGTTTCTCGTGGCCAACCTAACACTGCTCAGGACAGTTCTCTATCCTTAGTCTTCTCTTATTTTCTAAAGAATATTTCCACAAAGAGACCTAGTTTCTGACTACAGATCATGAGAAATTATTTTTTTTTAATCTTGATTGTTGAAAGCATTACAAATGTCCCTCCTTTCCTCCCCCACTGGCCCTGCCCCCACTCCCCTCCTGCCTTCCGAGGAAGGATTTTTTTTAATTGCCTCCATGCTGCCCGAGACTCTGGGTTCTGCTTGAGTCATTCTGGATGCCAGGATTCAGATGTAAATACCCCCTGAAATCCATCAATGTCCGGGTAGCTGATTAAGCACCATGGACTAGAACAGCGTTCCCTCTTCTGATCTTCAGGCGCTTTTCTTTGTGTGCGCTGATGTATCACCACAGTGAGGGGCCGTTCTCACACGTTCTGCTCGTGCTAACAGATGAGGTGTGAAATTGATTCTGAGCACCTAGGAGGGTTATGATTTATCGTCGAACATTAGGCCCTGTGGAGCTTTGCTAGATGAATCCCAACTGCACTCGGCTCCAACCACACTTCTGGACAGAGGACACTTCGTGACCCAGGAGACGTCAAGTACCGCTGTCTCAGGCTGGCACCCAGTAGAAGCTCCCTTGCACTCAGTCAGTCAACAAATAGTGACTGAGCATCTACCATGCCCTAGGTACTACTTTAGGAGTGGCAGATACCACACAGGGCAAGAGAGACTCACTCACCCCTAGATCTGCCTCCTCTTCCCAATTATGACTTACACTCGCCATTGGGTAAGCATGCCCATAGCCTGGTGCCTGGGGTCAATACCTGACATGGCCTGAACAAGACGTCATCCTACAGTTTTTTAGACTATAGATACTGGCACTAATGGCTAATGCTGCACCTTCATCACTGTTACTCTCAGAACGACGAATGGGCCCATGGAAATTTCTAACGAGGGTGTACACACATGAACCCCACAGGAAGTCGCCCAGTCAAGGGGCTTCAGACAAAAGCCGTCTCTAACCGGAATTGTATGAATACCTAGAAACAATTCTCTTCTGCTAGCCAACACCTAAAACTGTGTTCTTACACCGGGTTGGACAGGGGAAAAGGGGGCAGGACATCAGAAATGCACTAGTCAGTTATCTGAAAACACACACTCCTGAGGTTTGTTCTGACACCCCAGAATTCTGCCTCTGAAGTTCTGGACTGGGTATCAGGCAGGTCTACGTTGAAAAAGTATCCATGTGTGATTCTGATGAATCTAGAAAACACTGTTTCATTCAGATACAGGCCTAGCCCCTGTCAAAATACAAGGCACATTTTATAGTAAAAGACATCGAAACCTTCGTGACTGAAAACCACGCCACTAGAGTTCTAGTCCTCATTTTGTCCTTAATCCACTGTGTGACCTCAGGCCAGGCACTCAGGCTCTCTGAGCCCCAGAGGGGAGAGAGAGTAGATGACTTCTAGTCTTAAAGAGCTGAGGTTACGTACGCAGTTATGTTTTTTTCACATTTACAGGCCAATTTCAAACACTAATTGATTAAGCTCAGTATAAATAATCACTGTTAAATAGTTCTTACAGAAAAGTAATGCATATTTAAAACACATTTTGCCAGATCGGTCCATTGCACATTTAAATGTCGTCATGATCCATAATTAAGCTTCTGAGGTGTTCAGTGTGGAATGTTTATAAACCTCCCAGCAGCAGTCACCCTTGGACTCTGTCACCCTGCCTCCTGCTTCCTCCCCACTCTGCCCCATCTTTTAGATGTCCCCATAGCCATGGTACTTATTGTCTGACTCCTAAGTAGAAGCGTCTAGATTTCTCAAAGAATATTTTCTTCCAATTCCACCTTCTCATTAAAGAATCCACAGTTGTTGGGAGACCATAATTGCCAATGATATATCAGATAAGGGGTTAATTTCCAATACATATAGAGTGCTCATACAACTCCACAAAAGACAAAGAACCCAATTAAAAAATGGGCAGAGGAACTAAATAGACACCTCTCCAAACAGGACATACAAATGGCTAAGAAACATATGAAGAAATGCTCATCATCACTAATCATCAGAGAGATGCAAATTAAAACAACAATGAGGTATCACCTCACACCTGTCAGAATGGCTGCCATCAACAAATCAAACAAGTGTTGGGGAGGGTGTGGAGAAAAGGGGACTCTAGTACACTGCTGGTGGGAATGCAGACTGGTGCAGCCACTATGGAAAACAATATGGTGTCACCTCAAAAACTTAAAAATTGAACTTCCATTTGACCCAGTGATCCTACTTCTAGGAATATACCCTAAGAAGCCTGAAACGCCAATCAGAAAGAATATATGTACCCCCATGTTTGTAGCAGCACTATTTACAATAGCAAAGATCTGGAAACAGCTGAAATGTCCATCAGTAGACAAATGGATAAAAAAGCTGTGGTACGTATACACAATGGAGTACTACACAGCTGTAAGAAAGATAGATCTCTTGTCCTTTGAGACTACATGGAGGGACCTGGAGAGTATCTTCCTGAGTGAGGCAAGCCAAACAGAGAAGGAGAAGTATCATATGATCTCACTTATTTGTGGACTATAATGAACATAACAGTCTGAGGAATGAGGTAGTCCCAGAAACATGGACGTGGGGTACAGACTGACAATCCCCAGAAGAGGGGATGGTGGGGGAGAGATCAACCACAGAACTTATATGCATGTATGCATGAACAGTGGACATTGACAACAAACTGGGGACAGGGCGGGGAGGGAGGAGGAGGGGGGAATCAGTGGGGGAAAAAGGAGAAATATCTGTAACAAAAGTTAATTAATAAAAAATAAAATAAAATAAATAAAAATTAAAAAAAAGAATCCACAGTTGTGTCTTCTTACACACCTCTAACAGACGTTTTTGCCTGATCATCTCCACTTGATTAATATTCTTGCACTTTTTTGTTCGGATCGCCTGCCTCTGTGTCTCTCACGAACACCCAGCGTGCAAATACTCCGTGCTGATGGCTAAGCAACAAATCAGGCAGCAAGCAGCGGGATTTTTATACCTATTGCTCCTCCAGACAGATCATTTCCTTTGATGAACGGGACTGAAATCTGACTTTCTTGCCCATGCAAGCTAATGATCTTGTCCACACCCCTATCTCCAGCCATGTTACAGCTCACAGCCAGCAAGAGTAATTCCCTGGGAATTCTCCACCAGTTCCCACCCCAGTGTTTATGATAGGGGCTTACTTTCCACTACTGCCCTAGGATCAAAGGTGTGGCGGCCCCACGCTCTCCCTTCTATTCCCTCCTCCGTGCTGCCAGGCCTAGAAGCCGGCCCGCTGGATTTCCCAGATTCTCTCACCGGGGACTTTGGCTTAGGTTCCGCCAGTATGAGTCCCTGGCCGGCAGAAGGAGGAAGTCGTCCTGGCTCCCGGGAGCAGAGGTGGGTCCCGGTTAGCTTTGCGGCAGTGGAGCAGCCTGACAAACCTCCCGCAGAGGTCCCAGCACTGCTGGGCTCCCACCAGCAGCTTCCTCAAGTGAGCTCCCCAATCTTGTTTAGTGCTCAGCACACCCCTTCTTCCTTTTACTCCTCCGGCCCTCCGAACACCATTATCATTATTGCTATGAGCGAGGGTCGGCGAAATGGTCCCAGTTAACCTCTCACTATCTGTACCCCTTTGCAATGTCACTATAAAGCTCCTCCCACCAAAGGGTGGACTCTTCCCATCTCTTGAGTCTGGGCTGGCCTGATAACTTGCTTTGGCCAATTAAAGGCAAGCAAAGCAATGTTATATCAGTTCTGATTCTAGACCTTTTGGAATCCTGCTGAGCTTCTGTGCAAAGGAACCCAGACCAGCCCCCTGGAACGTCAGCCCTCATGGGGGAAAAGCCAAGTGCATCAGCCAATCATGAGCCCTCATGGGGGAAAAGCCAAGTGCATCAGCCAATCATGAGGCCTCATCGGGGAAAAGCCAAGTGCACCAGCCAATCGTCAGCCAGACCCCAGAATCAGAGCCACTCAGCTGACCCAACACCCAGCACAGTCACATAAGGAAGTCCAGTCAAGGCCAGAAGAACAATCCAGTTGACCAGTAGAGTGGTGAGCAATAATAAACGTTGGTTCTTTTAAGCTATTAGTTTTAGGGGACTTTGTTAACTCACAGTAGATAACCAATACAATAACGAATTCCTTTCCTTGAGTCTCTTCTATTGCTCTTTCTCTGGACCATGACTGATAAAGGAAACTTCTTAAAAATGCCAATCCCGCCCTGACTGGTTTGACTCAGCCGTTAAGAGTGTCGGCCTGTGGTCCAGAGAGACCCGGGTTCGGTTACCCTTAAGGGCACATACCTCAGTTGCAGTTTGTCCCCGGCCCTGGTTGGGTCCTGCGGGAGGCAGCCACTCGATGTGTCCCTTTCACATGGATGTTTCTCTCCCCCTCCCCCTCCTTCTCTCTCCTTCTCTCTCTCTCTCTCTCTCTCTCTCTCTCTCTCTCTCTCTCTCTCTCTCTTCCTCTCTCTCCTTCCCACTCTATCTAAACAAAAAATGAAAGAATGTCCTCAGGTGAGGATAAAAAAAAAAAAAAAAAAAAAATGCCAATCCCAATTGAACACCCCAGGAAATTTTGATATATGTGGCTTCAGAATATTCTTTGCCAAACACAGCTTTCAAGAGCTGAGAAGATCATTTTGTCTATACTCTAACCTCTCAGGCAGTTTACAGATAAGATCACGCTAGGGCAAAAGCTCAGTCTGATTAAATAAATACTTAGTAACCAATTCCAGTGTCCAAGGAATGTCATATCCCTGTCAAGGATTCTTTTCTCCATAGTAATTGTTAGCCTAGTTCCCTCAAGCTGCAGTTTTTGTCTCTTTCCTCTTATTTCCTGCTCAGAATGAGAAAAAAAAATAGCAGTTGGTAGGGCCAGACTGTTCTCTGGCCCCTTGGAATTAAACAGAAGCAAAAAAAAAAACTTTAGTATCAGATTGATTTTATTTCATTTTTCATTTTTTTAAATGTTTGTATTGATTTTAGAGAGGAAGGGAGACGGAGACAGAAACATCAATGAGAAACATCGGTTGGCTGCCTCCTGCACGCCCTCTACTGGGGATTAGGGATCAAGCCCACAACCCGGGCAAGTGCCCTGACTGGGCATGAAACCAGCAACCTCTTGGTGCATGGGACCATGCTCAATCCACTGGGCCACACCATCTGGGCCAGATTGATTTTAGAAAACTGAAATCTACTGTGTGACTTTCTGCAAGTCATTAACCTCTCTGAACCTCAATTTTCTCAACTATTAAAGTAAGATCTGTTATGAGAAATAAATGAAACAGTTTGTAAAAACTTAATGTGTTAGGTCTTGGCTTTCACCTCTCTAAAGTAGAATTGCAGAATAAAAAATGAAAAACTAAGACTCTTGACATGGATCCAAATCCCTAAACTCCAGACTTATCAGAGAATCATGAACAGACTTTCCCATAATGACGTGTGAAAGGAACCCATACCTATAGCAAATGATGGGGGACTAGGTGGTAAGTCAACCAACCACCCCTGCCCTATGGGGAGGGAATGTCCTATGGACACCCTGTCTCAAGGGTTCCATATTTTATTTAAACAACAAAGAAACAAAAGAAGTCAGATTCCTATTGCTTAAAGCAATCAGTCAATACTTTAAGCATATTCTTCCCCACTGTGTAACCTGTTCCCTCAATTTCCACTTCGAGCTCTCCCAAAAGAGGCCCCAGGCACCAAACACGCAAACAACAGTGTAGATGAGACCATGGAGCTCAGAGGGAAGGAGCTCACATCACACTCTTCACAGACAGCATTTCACTTCCCTTCATCAGATCTGTTCCCTCTATGTCCCTCCTAGGCTGACTGGGGAAGGGGAGGGGGGGAAGTCAGGGAGGAGGAGGGTGGCAGGGAGGCCAAGGAAGAAGAGAGTTTCTCTTCCCTTCCCATACATAATATCTAGCCCTATTGGAAACTGCCTCCCTCTAAAACACTCCTTTACTATCAAGGGCAAGTTAGCAGCCGTTGGAGTCACTTAGGATTTTTTATTATTCAGGATTCACACCCCATTCATAACCAATGTTATTCTCTTAAAGACATAAAGTGTGCTCCCCAAAAGAGAGCCTAATGAATGGTGTTGCCTACAACGATGTGTGTGTATGTGCACAAGCGCATTCAGTATTTTGTAATCAAAATCCCATAAACACACAATGAAGATTGGACCTGTATTCACATTTAAATATATGGTCTGTAATCTCATTTACATTATAAAAACATCTTTACTTGTCAACAGATATTCTTTTACAATATCATTTTCAAGGCTGTATAGTATCTCATTGATTGTATGTATTGATTTATTTAAGTAATTCTCTATTGTTAGACAGCCAGGCTATCCAATATTCTCTATTTTGGATATCTAGCTTTTCAAAATTATAAAATAAGAAAAAATAAAGACATTCTTGTATTATCTTTCTCACCTGCTCAATTATTTTGTTAGGATACATTCTTAAAGAGGAGTGACTGAGTCAAAGAAAAATAATGGGCACCTTGAAATGATTGGATATGTTTTCCCAAATTTTTCTCCAGGTCTGGACCAGTGGACATCCCATCAGTGATCTGAGATAGTGTTTACAAGGAAGGGGTTGCAAGCCCCAGTTATAAAGAAAGAAGAAAGTACATGTCAAAAAGCCTGGAGGTGCCCTGGCCAGTTTGGCTCAGCAGTTAGAGCGTCAGCCCACAAACCCAAGAGTACAGGTTCAATTTCCAGTCTAGGGCACATACCTCGATTGCATGTTCGATCCTTGGCCCTGGTTGGGGTGCAAGACAACCAATAGATATGTCACATTGATATTTCTCTCTGTATCTCTCTCCCCGATTCCCTCCAATTCTATCTGGAAGAGAAAAAAAAATGAATGGAAAAATATCCTCGGGTGAGGGGGGAAAACAGCCTGGAGGCCTGGATCCTCGTGCCTTCTTTCTTTCTCCAAGCATGCTGGTCTCCATCCTTGTCCCTTTGTTGCCTTTGAACATCTCTGCCCCTGAATCTTTGCTCTTGCCCGTTCAGTCCCCACTTTCTCAGGCAGTCACAATAACAACGGTAACAACAAGAAATATTTAATTATCTATCCTCAGTGCTTACTTATACCAGTATGCACCAAACTGGCCCTGTGTATCAGACAGCTATTAGTGCAATACTGCTGCATAACAGAACATTCCAAAACTCAGCTTGTAATAGCAAGCATTTATTTTCTTGCTCACAGACTGTACTGTCTCAGATGTTAGGGCAGCAACATTTGGTTCCAGCCTCAGGTCAGTTTCCATCTAATCCATCTGTCTCACTCCAGGCTCAGGCTGATGGGGAAACAACAACCTGGTTCGTGTACTTCTCAGAAAGACCAGGAAAACTCTTCACTATGCCCACATTCCATTAGCCAAAACAGGTCACATGGCCAAGCCCAACATCAGCGGGGTGGGGAAATCAACTCCTCCTCCCTCTCTGGTGCCCTGCAGGGTCACATGGCAGAGAGCCAGCGTGAAGATCTGAGAACAATAATTCAACCTATGACAGTTAAAATACTGAAAACACTTCCGGAGTGGCTGGTAAAGAGGAATTCACTACTTATTGAGACTACAAGTCACCTGATCACCTTGCTCAGCTGTAGCCACAGAGGCAAGTAATGGGGCCTGAGAGCAGTGCTGTTGGATGTGGGCAGCCTCTTGCAGCTGTGATGAACGATGGTGGTGGGAGCAAGATTGGGCCGCCCCCGCCTACTACCCTGGAGGGGCCCAGCATTGGAGAGGGCATCAAGGTAAGTAGCATTGTCAGCCTGTGCCTTTGTCTCTGCCTTTAGGATCAAGACCATATGGGAACTACTGGCATCTAGCTATTCACCAATCCCAATCATGGGCAGCGCTCCTGACGGCCTTCCTGCTATAACAAAATGCAGGGCTCTGGGGCTCTGGTTACTGCCCATTTGTTGGGGAAGTCACTGAAAAGGCTGATGCAGTGCCTCATGTCAAATCGTGGTCCAGACAGGCGTCGCTCAGCCAATGGCGGCTGCACTGAAAGAGCACATCAACAAAATCTAACACGCAGAAGAGGACAGAACACTTCCAACCTCACTTCACAACCTCATTGCCCTGATACCAAACCCAGACAGAAACGTGGCAAGAAAAGACAATTACAGGCTCAGATCCCTGAGGAGCATAAATGTAAGAATCTTCAACAAAATGAGCAAACTAAATTCAATAATACATTAAAAGGGTCTTACACCCTAATCGAGGGGGATTTATTCCAGAGATGCAAGGATAGTTTAACATATGCAAAAATCGATGATCCACCACATTAACAAAATTAAGGATAAAGATCACATGATCCTTCTCAATAGATGCAGAAAAAGCATTTGACAAAATTCAACATCGGTTCATGATAAAAACTGTCAACAGACTGGGTATGGATGGAATGTGCCTCAACATAACAAAGGCCATGTATGACAAACAAGCCCACAGCTAACATCATCCTCAATGGTAAAAGCTGAAAACTTTTCCTCTAACAAGAGCAAGACAAGGATTCCCCACTTTCAGCACTCCTCTTTTTAGTACAAGAAGTCCTAGGTGGAGCAATTATACAAGCAATAGAAATAAAAGGCATCCAAATCAGAAATGTAGAAGTAAAAGTA